TTGTGTACTACCTTGTACCAATCTTAAAAGATCCTGAAATTTTTGAAACTGTGTTTTTTGTTTTTTCAAATATATGATTTTTTGAAATTTGTTAAAAAAAAATTTTTTCTTATAATTATTTTTTTCTCATCGTTATGCCACTCAATGACATTTTAACTGTTCAGAACATCAAAATTACGCGATTTATCAAAGTCAATTAAGTTATAAATAAAAAAAAATTTTTGAGAAAAATTTTTTTTTTTTTAACAAATTTCAAAAATTCATATTTTTGAGAAAACAAAAAACACAGTTCCAAAAATTTCAGGATCTTTTAAGATTGGTACAAGGTAGTATACAAAAATATTTGAGCAAAAAATTTATTGTCGACCGTCATTTTTTACGATTTTCAAAAATTCAAAATTTGACATATTTGGCATTTTTCAAAATTTTTTCCCAAAACATTTTTTTTTCCAATAGCTCCAAGTGTTCCCTTTCAAACAAACGAAAGATCATTCCTGTATCTATCCTAGCGTTCGAGATATTACAAAAACAAAATTAAAAAACTGGAAAAATTGCGAAATTTTGAGTTTGCATATCTTTTGAAAAAAATTTTTTTATTTTTTTTTTTTTTGGCAGAACTTCGTTATATGATAAAATAAAACTTCTGACCAAAATTCGTCCAAATTGAAAGGGGTCGATTCCAACTATTGGTCGATTTGACATGGAATGACCCACTTAAAATTAATAACTCTCACGTAAAGAGACAATTCAGCGCTTATGCGTCCTCCATCAAAGATTTAAAAAAAAATTTTTCTCAAAAATTTTTTTTTATTTATATCTTAATTGACTTTGATAAATCGCGTAATTTTGATGTTCTGAACAGTTAAAATGTCATTTAGTGGCATAACGATGAGAAAAAATAATTTTAAGAAAAATTTTTTTTTTCAACAAATTTCAATAATTCATATTTTTGAAAAAACAAAAAACATAGTTCCAAAAATTTCAGGATCTCTTAAGATTGGTACAAGGTAGTATATAAAAAAATTTGAGCAAAAAATTTATTGTCGACCGTCATTTTTGACGATTTTCAAAAATTAAAAATTTGACAAATTTGGCATTTTTCGAAATTTTTTTTTTCAATAGCTCCAAATGTCCCCTTTCAAACAAACGAAAGACCATTCCTGTATCTATACTAGCGTTCGAGATATTACAAAAACAAAATTGAAAAACTGGAAAAATCGCAAAATTTTGAGTTTTCATAATATCTTTTGAAAAAAATTTTTTTATTTTTTTTCCTTTGGCAGAACTTCGTTATATGATAAAAGAAAACTTCTTACCAAAATTCGTCCAAATCGAAAGGGGTTGATTCCAACTATTGGTCGATTTGACATGGAACGATCCAATGAACTTTAGACACACTCAATTTTTTTTTTGTAAAAGTAGGGGAACGATTGGTATGATGTTAACAATAGTTTTTCTGAGTAATATAAAAGTAAATGCAGTTGTGCAGGAGAGAAATAAAAACATTTTTGACGTGAGAAACAACTTTGCAATGAAAAAAAAAAAAATTTTTTTTTTATCGTTTTTTGGAGGTGGGCCATCTTGCCCCAAAAAAAATTTTTTTTTGGAACTTTGGAAAAATTCCGGTGAATTGAGTCAAAGTTGGACGAGAGTAAATCCACTTGATAGTAGAAAGCCACAAAAATTAAAAACCGGCTTAGGTGGGCCGTCTTGCCCAACCCTCCCCTATTAAAATAAATTTTTAGTATTAAGAACAAATATTATTTCGAAAGTGACGATTAGATTTGTCATAACTGTCAGTAACTCATATATCTGTGTCTCAAGGACTATCCTTTACTCATATTTTTCTGATAAGACATACAATTTTATCATTTTCTTTTATCAGTAGGTTATTATTGATATTGAATTGGAAACCAGCACAAGTGTAAATGTCAGTGAATTTTTTTTACTATTTTTAAGTTGAAAAATCATTACATAGTTTTATGATCAATTTTAAGAAACAATAATGAAGAATTTTAAGTATTGTTTTTTTTTTTATTTTCTTTGTTTGTCGAGAATTTGTGAGTGTGGTGAGTAGTCCAGCTTACTATTGTTCAATACGTGCAAGAAAATATAATAAAACCCCCATGCACATTTTTATGGTTTTACGACAAAAGACTCGTTGAAAAAATACCTGCGATCATGTAAAGCAGAGAATAATTATTTTTTTCCAAAAAACGATGGCAGATTCTTGTAGATAATTTATTGTAGTTTTTGAAATCACTGATATTGATGTTCAGGTATTTTGTCTGTCGGTCTTTTATTATTACCTTACCAATTTTCATGACTTCAATCATTCAAAAATTTTTTAATTGAAGGCTTCATATCTATATTAATCTAAAGTTAAAGCCTTATAAATAACAAAAAAAAAAAGTTAATTTTTTTAATCTATATCGTTTTATCATCTTGTGATCTACTTATACAATTCAATAGACCAGATCAAAACTGGGTAAAATATAAAGTGTGATTTTAAATCGCTACTGAGATCGTTTTTAGTTAGTATATTCATTCCTTATAAGAATGAGAGAGATGTCCAGGAAAATTTTTTTTAGATATACATAGATCTACTTAGGTTAAATATGATCTACGCAGATTCGACTTGATTCAAATGAGATCTAAAAATTAATTTACCAAATGTTATCAGAAATAAGCTGATCTATAAAAAGTATATAAAGTTTTAGTAATCGATGTTTAATAATAGTTTTTTTGAGTTTAAAATAGATTAGTAGATTAATGTAAATCGAAAAGACAATGTTCTGGGTTTATACCCAGAATTTATATTAATATATAAAAGTAAAATTTATATTTTACTTGATTTAAAACACGATATCTGTAATAATGTCTGGCTAGTAAAAATTCATAAGTAATATTTATTAGCATGGAATGTACCACCATTTGGAGAACCTGATAATTTAAATCCCGCGGTGCATTTCAAGGATTATAATGAAATTGCCAAGCGTATCAATATTGATCTAGATGAAGAAGTTTCCAATGTTAGTATTGTGAAACTTATTAATTATGACGGAGGTAAGTATAACATTATGCAGAAAGTTTTTTCGATTCCAAAAGCGTTTTGATTCGAAGACAAAATATCCTCGAAAAAAATATCATTCTATCTGATTTATTTAAGGCAAACGCATTAGTAAAATTTTATTAAATGGACAGACAGGTAGTTAATTTTCAAACTAAGAAAATAAATCAACATAAGTAGAGATTAACCCTTTGATGTTTGGCCTTGATCCCCATTCTTAATTTGAGTCATATGTCTTTTTCTTTAAGTGAGAGAGCTATAATCTTTTTCCTAGAGAGGGGGCTCGAAAAATAGTAAAAAGGGACGCATGGACACACTACCACAATTAAACTGTCTCTCACACAACCGCATAACATACTATGATTAGCTCTCTCCCCTAACAGCTCAAACCGAGATTCTTTGCGCTTCCAAAACATTAAAGGGTTAAATCTTATATATATCTAGAAATTTCAGTGAGGCAGTGATTTAGCGCAAGTATATAAGGCATGCCGAATTCCAAACTTGCGGTAAGTAAGGCATCCAAATCAGACCAAAGTTTAAGGAGGGATGGCCAATGTGAAATTTCAAAAAAAAAAAATTTTTTTTTTTTATTAAATCCAAGCTTATAGATTCAAAAATATGTATCTAGAGTTTGTGATCAAAATTCTGAATATTTTCCGAGTGATAGTCATTTTTGTGACAGCGCGTCAAATGACTTTACACGCACGGTACTCTGACGAAAACGCGTTTTTCTCGAAACTACTTTTTTTGAACTGATGAGAACTGTAATTTGCATAGGGGAGCCTGGGGCACGACGGCCCCCTTAAGCCGATTTTTCCTTTTTGTGGCTTTTAACCATCAAATTTATTTATTTTCCATCTTTTTCGAACGAATCAGTCGAAATTTTGCAAAAAATCGAAAAAAAAAAATTTTTTTTTTCTGAGGCACGACAACGACGGCCCACGCCCAAAAAATCATATTGAAAAAAATTTTTTTTTACTAAAGCTATTACCATCAAAATCTAGAAATTCTCTTCCCAGAAAACGTCGTCGAGGGAAAACTACGATTCTTACGAGTCTTAGTATCGCTGAGAACTCACAGAAAAAAAAAATCAACATGAAGCAAAAAAAAAAGACCTCAATTAAAAAAAAAAAAAAATAAATAAAATAAGATCTAAACCAAAAAATTGGAAAAAAAAAACATAAAAACAATAATTAATTGTAAAAAAAGACAGAGCGATAGTACGACACGTGTTACTCGCGTTGGCATTTTTTCTAACCTCCTGGAAAAAAAACATTTCCCGGGAAAAAATGAATTTGCCTAATCATATATATTTATATATGATTATATATTGAATATATAGAATTATATATAATTATGTATGATTATATCTAAATTTTTATATAAAATATATATATTTTATATTTTAGAGTCCCAGTCCGAGCTATCTAATAATTTTTTCTCACATATTCTATACACTAACATTAAAAAGTTCCTCTCTACAATCCTTTCTCAATCCTTTCCTACCAATTATCCTGTTACGTGAATGTTGGAACCCTTCACGTAACAGGATAATTGTTAGGAAAGGATTGAGAAAGGATT